ACAGAAAATACTTACGAGGTTGTTAAAGTTCTAGTGTGTACTTAAGAGTCCGCTGTACGTTTTCTTTATGGGGTGAAGAGTTAGTTGCTAGTCGCATGGGCATGTTAATGTAAATTCTCGTTTGATTCGACGTTACACGGACATCTGTTCAGTATGATCGGCGTTAACTATTAAAAATACCTGGTAATAGGTAAAAGCGAATTTATTTTTAATACCTGGCATGTGATACACGGCCGATCATAAATATATTGTTGATTTTTAATTGGCTTAATATTAGTATGCGGCGATGTCAAAAATCTATTTCTAAATTTGGATAAATTCTTTAACCGAAGCTAACGGCCGTGTCTCGCAAACGCGTTTCTTATAAATTGACGAGGTTTTAAGCTTCCTTCAAATATAATATTCATTACATTTGGACACAGAAACCATATATCATTATCTTTCAAAACACTTAAATTCTTACTACTACCGATAATAATTTTAAATCAAATTCTTACCATGGAAAATCAAGACACTAGAACTTTCGAAGATTTATTATATACCGATAATTATATGGAAGATGATGACATTTACGCATACACATGCTCAATTCCAATATTTGAAGAAAGTGAAGGTGAAAGTGACAAGGAGTATGAAGAGCAAGAATATAGAACAGACGAGCTGAGAGTCAATGAGGAATTCGCCATTGACGATGTGCAAGAAACAGAGATAGAGGTTCCAAAAGAAGAATTATCACCGTGCATTATTGTCACTAATAACGATGGAAGTATACGGCGTTGTGGAAGACGTAATTCTGAGAATCAGAGAAGGTTTTGGAATCTTGCCGGCGTCTGGGAAGTGGATAAACGTGCCGTCGAAGAAATGGAGAATGAGCCAGAAAAATTGGGAATTTGCTACAAACATTATATGTTTGACCGAAATTATCTACATGTGCGTGATTCCGAACACAAAAAGAGCCATACAAGTTCCATTATTCGAAAGCGTCGCTGCATGTTTTGCAATAAAAATTTTGGTGTGTTCAGTCGTGGGAGTGGCTGTGAAGAGCACTGCTGGTCTTTTCTGAACAAAACGATCCAAACACCATGTATAGGACAACATAAATGTCCGGCAATAGGAAAAACGGGGTTTCCGCCGCTTGTTAAGAAAGCAGCTGATGTTGAACAAGCACGTTACATTTGTTGCGCATGTTATGAATCTCTTGGCGGACATTTACATCAACAAATGGGTAGAGGCAACAAAGAGAAAAAAGTTATCTGTACTAGTCCAGCAATGAAAAAACATGACAATGATACAGACGAATCAATGAGACTTTTAACAAATTGGATGTCATATGTAACTAAGAAAAATGACATTAATTTAAAAAAGAGAGTCTTAAAGTATGCAGCACTAACATTGCAAGCCTTGGAAGAACCTAAAGGAGATGATAATAATAACTCTCCAACATTGACTCCATTTATGATTAGGACAATCTTGAAAAGCCATAAAATACCATTGAATGAATTGGAATCCTCAACAATAATAGACCCTGAAACCTCCCTCCAATTCGGGAAAAATCTTGCTGAAAATGTCTGGAATTTACGTAGTCAGATAAAGCAGAAAAAAAATATATTAGAAGCTCCCAGTTCATTAAATCAATACATAAACGCGTTTCCAGTAATTCTGATAAATTTATTTATTGGAATTCTTACAACATTCTTCAAAAAACGAATGGAAGTAAATAATCGAAGAAAAAACATCACAACCACTGATATCCCTGCAGACGTTTCTAAAAAAACCAACAGAATAACGGCATTCTTAGCATCTGTAATTTTAACGACCGCATTTAAGAATCTAAAAGTCTGGATAACACGCACATTGGCTTCAGCATGTCACAAACCGAAACTTTTACCATCATTGAGACTTTTATTTGAGTCTGTTAATGTTATCTCACACACCAGCCGTTATGAACATTATTTAAAAAGACGGCGAATAGATGCTGCAGACCCTGTTGAGAATATACAAACTGGCCCATACATTTGGAATGTATGCGTCATTGATAATATTGACATGGCGGAAGCTACTTATGAGCGCGATAACATCTATAACAAGGCGAGGAAAACATTTCACGCGACGCTGCATGCGATTTTCCAATTTACGCTTCCAATGCAAATAAACTCGATTCCAAATGACGAAATACCGCTTACTGAGAAACACCGTTTATTTGGTACTAATGATGAAGCTGAATCCTGGCTTCAAAAAGTGAGCGATGTTATCAAGACTTTAATAGATTCAAAATGGTCTTCTATTGATAGTCCTGGAGATGTTGATGCCAACACTATCTACCAAGAGCTCTTAAAGCGTGTTAGACTTGGTTGTCAAGTTCCAAAAGCGAATGTAGTAATTCTTGAAGCAGGTGATGAACCAAACTCTGATGAGAACATTTATAAAACGTGCCAAGCATACTACAAAGACTTGGGCCTAACTGATAAAGATAACTTGGACATATGGGCAGATCAAGCAATCTATAGCCGTCTTTTACGTATAAAAAGTAATGAGGAGAATAGTTATAAATTACGGCTAGGATTGGGACAATGGCATATCTCAAAGGCCATGTGCAGTGCACTCATAACCCTCTTTTCAAGTTATGGCATCTACAACTGTGCATTGGAGCTTGGAGCTAAATATCTTGAAAAACTGGAAGATAATATTGACTACCGATCGACATGCAACGTTCTGGAGACGATATGGGCATCAACAGGCTTTGCAATCCATCATTATCTAATAAAGAAAGAACTTAAAGAGGAGGATATAATGAAAGACGAAAACAAAAACCACTTAGTTAAAGTGTGGTATCTCTATTACAAGTGGACTAGCATTTGGAAGGGACACAAAACAGGAATTCGAACAGGAAATTTTGACATGCAGTTCTCACACTTAGCTGCATTCGCTCCCTTATTTGCGAGTGGTGGAAAATATCTATATAGCAGGGCTGTGGTCCACTTCCTTTCAGAAATCACTCGGTATCCTCAATTACGTCAACTTCTCCAACACGTCTGCTCTGTAAACCTTACACAAGAAGGTCATTATTTTGCATTTGATGAAGCCCTAGAATTCTTTGGAGTTAAATTCACAAAACAAAATATGACACAAAGAATTCTTACTGAGGACAATTTTAAACGCCACATCAAATCTGCACAATCTGAACGTGCAATTACAGATCTTCTGTTTTCAGAGCTCAGCGATGAAAATGTTAATCCTGGAGGACATGCCATTAAATCCCGTTATGAAGATGTTCAGCAGCTTACCAAAAAAATGTTCAATGCGTTTATTAACCCAAATGATAATGATGGACTATTTAAAGATTGCGAGGGACTTACAAAAGAGGGGTATGCTCGAATGTTCAATGTCTATCCAGATGGAGAGCACCGTCTGGCAAAGCTCTATATCCAAGAAATTCTTCATAAAGAGGTTGTCAACACGATTGGATCTGCAATAATTGCAGTATCTAAAACACGTGCCAGAGATGTCACATACATTGAACAGTCCGATACTGATAATCGCCCTACTACTCCACCAGGACAGATGATAACTGATGACCTGTCAGACCCTACAACTCCTAGAAGCGATGCAAATAAGCGCATGAGTACTGGCAGTCCGCTAATAGCAGAGTTAGATCCAGTCGTGCTCGCAGCAATCGGAAGATACAAACTCTGTAGACGTTGTGGGTTTAAATTAAAATATCATGAAGCATCTGTATGCCCTTTCAAAGGAAATCCTCCGTCAGCTTTCTATTTAAATGAGTTTATTACCAGGCAGTACAAGCTAAATAGTAGTAAGAGGCCCAGGATATTGTTTGAGATGGCAGAGACTATCAGTGAAGAACTGCAATCGCAAAGGAAAGAGATCAGTGAGTTACAAGCTCAAAACCCACAAGTTGTCATTCCCCCTGTTCAATGCAGTCGCTGCTTACAAGAGGGTCACATGGAATTCGAGTGCCCTTCCGCTACTGATAATAATTAAATCGAATGTATATATTAAATCAGATTGTAAAATTTTGTCAATGTAAATATCTAACATTTGTAAATATAATAAAGCATATGGTGAGATTTACAATATTAGATCAATGTCAATACGCACTTGTATTTGATTCATGCTATAGACTATAACATAAAATTACATAAACATTGTGTGTCAGTAACAAGAGTACGGAATATGGAAATCGATGGGCTCGATTATCATATAGTTCAGTTAAACGCACTCACATTAACTTTGTCGGATCTACTTACCAATGCCAAGTGCATCTGAATGAAAGCCAGCAAGTCTGATAAATAATAGTGTGCCTCCTTGATATTGGGGAGCATTCCAAATCGAATCCGATCAATTTGGCGTAAGCTTTAGCATTACTGTGTGTGCAACACCTCATCGTAATTATGTTTAATAAGTGCAATTTTGAAGCGATATTCTGTTGGATCAATACTAATGACACGCGTCTTCCCATCTCTATCAAGGCAATATACACTTTTTCCTTTGATAAACTGGTTGATCTAATGTACGGATTATGCCACTGTCACTGTAAAATAATTAAAAGGAAGAAAAGGATTTAATGTAAATAGAATTAAGAACAATGAAAACAGTTGAGCAAATGACTTACCCTTGAGGAAGAGCATATTTAATATGATTAGGTGTAGAGTAAATAAAAATGCAGACGTTACATTAAGTCATCATAGCCAGCAAACAAAAGACGCCCAGAAATTGAGAATGCAACAGAGGTGATCCCGCAAAGAATGTTGTCGTGTGTGTATTGATTTAGTTCTCGATCAGCTCTGAGGTCGAACAGCCGGCATGATGCATCATCGGAGCCAGTACCAAATGCGTCACCGTTAGGGAAGAATCTAAATGTTTGCAAAGCCCACATTGTCCCAAGCACCACTCTTAATTCTTATTGCCTCATGTAACATGCAATTCTGTTCTAAATTCTTATTTGCAATAGTAATGGCTACATAGAACAGAAATGCAAGTTAGCATCTTTCCTCTATTTAACGTTCATCACGATGATAATACACTCACTGTGCTTGCTCAAAAGAGCAACTTGACTATGGTAAAGTGTTTACTTTAGCCTTCAACATTATCGACAGCGCATCTTTATCGGGTTTATCCGAAATCTTAGTTGTCTCATCGCGTCGTATGCTAGCCTGCGAAATCAAACAAAATTGATAGGTTATATTAGCGAATTCAAGTAGTATATGTGAAATTTACGACAGTGATATATAGATTCATCACCTTCAGCGAATTCTTTTGCTTGTCAGTATACAGGGCTTTCGTTTCCTGCAGAAAGTTGATGTAGGCAAGATAAAAAGCTAAGCAATCTGCTACGTAGAGTTATTTAATTAAAACAGCGTTTAAATGTAAATAACAATCAGCATGTGTGCATACGCAACAGCTCTATTAGCACATAATATCCTTCTCGAGTGGCCGACCGATTAGCATCATCTCGTGCGGTAAAGTGCTCACTTTAGCATTCCACGTCTTCAACAGCGTCGTCTAGTGGCACGCTCTTTCTTTCGCATTTCAGGCCACTTGGGTGGGGGAATTATGCCAATTAAAGTGATAGTAATTATAATAGTAATAGTGAATTTGAAACGTTAATCAAGATAATAATAAAAATTCTCCAATTTGTGGCACGTGATCTTTATCACGCGTAATACATCTGCTTTTTCACGTTCTGAATCTTACCTTATAATATTGAGATCAGTAAGTTCGTCCATGGATGTCCACATTACGAGTTTCTAGATGGAAGGCTCGACAATAAACTTCGTTTCTATGAGGGAATGCGCCTTAATACGACATATTAATATTACGCTTAGTCTACTAAACATATGAAAAATCTATTTTTTCGAAAATCTGTATTATTATACAAGTAACAATAAACTTTGTATCGATTTGAATCTAGTTGATTGTACTCTTCGGAAAAATAATGGTATATTTAAACCCACTATCGTAGTTCAATGAAATGGCAGTAATGGATTACGCGTACATTTTTCATATGAATCACATATGTATAACATATATATCGCTACTTCACCGAAACACAGTTTTATTAATTAGTTGGATAAACTCGTTAAGTACGTTTTTCGAAAAGTATAGTTAGTTAGCTCTTGAATAGTGCAAAGATCATAGTAGATACAGTTTTCGAAAAAACTATTGATCGGCAAAATCCGGCAAATACTTTTTGATCTTTTGACGAATGAATGATATTAATTAATCGTAAATCGCTATAATAATAACAACACATAAAAATTTATTTTATAAATATCTTTCTATTAAGAGAAATAGTAACTGGCAATTACTGACAATGAATATTGAAAAGGCAACTTATTATATTCAGATTTACTATTACTGCTTTACGCTATTTAATAACCAAAATAACATAATAAGTAATAGACTATATATTGATGACAATTTACCCAAATAATATCATGGCCGACAAACTGACGTTATAATTATAAATAGTTGTGTATGTCGCAACGGTCCTAAAATTTAAAGATGTTTTGTACAGCACTTCTTTACGTTGTGGCAGTCACTCTAAACATATATAGTATTATTGTAAGTTAACAAAGTCAATGACTTCGTTGTCAGATATTATTAGCTTCTGCTTTCAATATGCGGTCTATTCATTAGTAACTTATCAAGCGGCTGATATACACGTAGCTGTACACCGAGGCTGCTGCCGAGTTATCACATAACATGAATGCCAACATATGCTGCAAAAATTTGAAACTTTTGATCCATTTCGACATGGTATAGAAACTCAACCCAGCATTTTTTAGAACCATAAATATCCACGGAAGGGAGCATAATCCATCGTTGCTAGATGCCGACTACAACGCTGAGTGTTGATGAATTTTAACACAGAGGCATTGCCTTCATTTATTATATGAACCAATTTATTCATTACCAATACTAAAATGTTTAGATAATAGCAGAGCCTGTCTACCAGGAAAATTTCGAGGAGTCCTGACAAAGTAAATAATATGATAAATAGATGGTAAGCAATAATAATAACTAAGAAAAAAATTACATGATTTCAGCGAATTTTTCAAAAACGAAAGATTCGGCGGCGAAATTTTCAATGTGATTTATGACCGAAATTTTATCTAAATCATGCGATGCAGATATGAAGTGTCGATAACAACAGCAGCATAGAAATTGCTTCCAACATTATTATTATTATATGATACTCTGTTGTATTCTATTTAGCATGTTGATTGCTGTACCAATTGCTAAAAATTGTATTCTATTTAGCATATTAATTGCTGTACCAATTGCTAAATTCACAATATATCACATCGTCTTTTCAGCTGTGCAAGAAGTGATAGAATAATTCTCAACTGATATGTGTCCATTTATCTACTACTGGTGAGTCATTTCGTTACAAATAATCTGAGCTGAATGTGCCACAGTAGTGGAGGGTGGCAAAACTTCTATTTACGGGATAACATTCACGTATCACTGCATAGTCTTACATTAGTATGTGATTGGGTATCCAGCATATGAAGAGTAAAAGAAGATGGTGTGCTGATATGTGAATGGAATCGTAAATGTTAAACTTAGATGCTTTTGCAATTGTTTACTTTCTAAATGTATTTAATAATAATACGTCTTGGTTTGGAGTTCTGTGATCATTTACTTTTGATAATAGGATTATCATGAATAATGACGCAAATACAAAGTGAGTTATAATGATACATAGAATCCAGCAACTGACGAAAAATTCTTTCGATGTTTGGGGGAGGGGGGGTATTCGTTATTTTGATGATTGTCATGATTACCTGATCTGCATAACCTTAATAATACCATTCGGAATAACGCGGTAAATACTCCCACTTCACACAGTAAATACTCCCACATTCACGCAGTATTGATGATAATTAATTAATATTAATAAAAAACTTTTGATAATGGTTATGACTAGTATTCATTTAGGGTCGTCCGCAATACATACTAAACTCCCATGCCATCAAATCTATACCCCAAAATCATCGTAATGATGTTAGGTTTTAAGTTTGTGAGACAGATAGATATTAATATAATTATTGTCTGCCTCCGGAATCATTCTATTAGTTAGGGTACGATGTGTGATTTAAGGCAACATATTACGATCAAGAAAAGTGACTTTCAAGTATGGAGTAATGCTCAACTTCTGTATTTTAATATTAACATTCATTGATATTATATATAGTAGATCAAAATTTATTATTGTGGTACACATTGAGCAGATCTAGTATTGGCAATCTCGATAGTCTCACATGACTCAATAGATTTACAGATAGACCCACTCAACCACACCTCGTTGTGAATAAAAAATTCCTTGCGATAGTTAGGTGGTGTCATTAACGGTAATGTTGTTGGCAAGCTTATGTTTCATTCAATGGGCAAACTGGTTTATTATTATGGCACTTGGTCTGTATCTACACAAATGATCATATATCTTCTGAATAACCTGTCAAAATATCTTAATTGATATGGAAATTTGAGAAACTTGCGGAATAGAACGGAGAATTTAATCCCAAACTTTTCAGCGCAGCTCCAGTGGTTGAGTTGTAAGGGGGCACCCACGTGTGCCGAATAAAGTCCAGTGGCTGAGTTGTCACATATTCGTGCAAATACCGCAAATACAATGTTTTCGAATATATTATATGAAAACTAACGTTCGTTGGTTTTTTTTGTTGATACACAGTAATAGTAACAGTAATAGCATTGTAGTAATAGAAAACTGACATTCTCTGCACATATCAAAATAAAAATATGGCCTCAACTTTTAGCAGTAAACTTCAATCCTCTTGAAATATTACTTTCACTTGAAGAATGTGAGTCAGAGACATATTAGGCATGGGGTCACAGGTAATTATTATTATTACAGTATGAAGATTAACACAGCCCCATCAGAGGATAATCAGGATCAGCATAGTTTCACATCAAGTGCAGATCCATATTATATGATAGGAATAAAAATCAAATTTTGTGGCGGCAAATAGAACCTATTTACATAATAATAAGGATGAAAACTCAGATATTAATATTAATACTTATTAAATGTACTGATGTTATCCTTCTCTACGATGTTAGATTTTGCAATGGGTGAACATCATGTTCGCAACTATTCACGTCTCGACTTTAGGGACTACATTATGTGACAAGGATGCCATTCACATGTCAATCAAATTTAATATGCCCCCTGAACTCATGGAGGGTATTTGGGTAGGACGGAATGACGTGGGAGAATATCTTCCTCACCTATTACTATCTTTTAGCGACACTTTTTGCCAGTGAGTTTACCTGTTTCAGTAGCCACCATATGTCTTTGCAAATACTTTTCTATGGTCTCGTAATAATAGAGGTAGATATTACTATCATACGACTAGTTTCATAGCCAATCAATGTGTACTTTCAGACTTTTCTCTGTTCTACTTGACTATCACACGGCAAAAAAAAAAAGGGCGGGAATGTCGAGTGAAGTTGATCTATTACATATAAGGCAAATGTTTATGCACATAATGATCTGCATTGTCATAAGTCACAAGACATTTTCCAGTTATTGACCAGTAATTTCTTCTGAAAATTTTTGTCGAAATAATAATAAAAAGGAGAGCAACTCTCCTCTCTCCTCATTCTTTTTTCAAAAATGACACACACCAACAACGACAACAAACCCACTGACAACAACAAAACCATCGACAACAACAAAACCATCGACAACAACAAAACCACTGACAACAACAAAACCACTGACAACAACAAAACCACCAAAACATACAAACCTCGCCAGTATTATCACAATTCCTACCACTGCTACGATGACCCCCATTATTACGACAACCCCTCCTATTATTATGACACCTATTATCCCGACCCCTATTATCACAAAACAACACACGTCCAGGCCGTCATGGAGATGTACGATGCCAGGGGAGCTTGGACAAAAGGACCTGTCGGTTATAATGTACCCAACAACGGGTCATCAACCATAAGGCAAGTCTTCAGGATATTATTCCCGACAGAAAATGAAGAAGAGGTTAGATTAGTCAGGATACGGGGGGGAACAGATGCATTAACAGTAGTGCTCCGGGAGGGTCTGGACACCTCGGCAACAACTCTAAGGCATTATCAAGCGCCGGTGGTGATATTCTTTATAATGAGAGATGTAAATATCATTCTAATACATTTTAAGTTATTGTTTCTGTCCATTAACTCATTTATATTTTTACTTCTCTTTAATAATAGAGGCCCGCCCTCCAATCATAATATGTCGTCGCCGTGGTCCCCGTCTGTCCCCGCCTGTGGTCTCCTGCCGCTCAGTAATAACAATGTCGCGGTCCCCGCTTGTGGTCTCCCGTCGCCGCTCAAGAATAACAATGTCGCGGTCCCCGCTTGTGGTCTCCCGTCGCCGCTCAAGAATAACAATGTCGCGGTCCCGTCTGTCCCCGCTTGTGGTCTCCGTCGCCGCTCAATAATAACAATGTCGCGGTCCCGTCTGTCCCCGCTTGTGGTCTCCGTCGCCGCTCAATAATAACAATGTCGCGGTCCCCGTCTGTGGTCTCTCGCCGCTCAATAATAACATGTCGCGGTCCCCGTCTGTGGTCTCTCGCCGCTCAATAATAACATGTCTCGCGGTCCCGTCTGTGGTCTCCCGCCGCTCAATAATAACATGTCGCGGTCCCCGTCTGTCCCCGCCTGTGGTCTCCCGCTGCCGCTCAATAATAACATGTCGTCGCGGTGTCCCCGCCTGTGGCCTCTCCCGCTCAATATAATAATATGTCGTCGTCGTGGTCCCCGCCTGTGGTCTCCCGCTGCCGCTCAATATAGTAACATGTTGTCGCGGTCCCCGTCGGTGGTCTCCCCTAGTTTGTAGTAATGCCCATGAACGGGTTAGTTTGTAATGCCCATGAACGGGCTAGTTTGTAATGCCCATGAACGGGCTAGTTTGTAAATAAGTATTTGTATATAATAAAACAATAAATAAACTGGTGCGTTCTCCTTGTTTTTGGGTTAAAGGCTGAAGCCTTTCTTTAAGCTTGTCCCAAATTGATATTGTTACAGTCAAAACTGGATATAACGATACTTCCGTTAGGTCACATTTTCATCGTTATAGCAAGTTATCATTAATATCAGGAATTCTATTTATAGCGATAACATAATAGTTACGAAAAAAAAATCGGTATACAAGATATCATCTATGGTGCAGGACATCCAAAAACCATATCGCGAGGAACTTTTATTCACAACAAGATGCTCGCTAAAGCCCAGTTTGAGCTGTTTTTATTTATTTACATATTTTGTAAAAAAAGAGAATAAAAAGCCCATAAGACTTTGCTAGTTTCATCTTTTAAGAAATTTTTGTGAGGGCTTAAATAGTTTAATTCAATATCCGATTAAGAATCGGGTGATAGTTAATTTGTACAGTTGTTGTCTATACAAATAAAAAATTTGTCTGTGAATATAACTTTTGCCGTAGTAGATAATTTGTGACTACAGTCAACCGCCGTATAATCAACCCCTCATATTTCGGGAATTCGAACGTTTAGAGCTGGAATGTTATTTCCATACTGTATTCCTCCCTCTTATTCGAACGATATTTCAGCATCAGCCGCGAAACGGAATATTAAGTACGATTTTGAGTTTGCATAGCATATAACGATCTGCTTGAATTTCGAAAATGCGAAATCGATCAAGCCAATCGGTATATCCAAATTCAATATTCCGGATCAATTCAGTTACGATTACCAAAACATAAACACGTTGTTGTCTTAGTGCTGATTGACGACGAAAATTGATTTCGCGTCAAACCAAGCGGCATATCCAAATTCAAATCGTATATGTTAATTCATTGCAGACACGTTGGCAACAGTTACGTTTACCAAACATATAAGCTTCATGAGCATTGGATTCGTACATAATAATAAATTTTGTTTCTATTTACAATGTCTAATCAATACCCATATTATTATAATTAGGGAAAGGATTGTACCCCAAACCCGTTATTTTCTTTAGTAGGGAGAAAGACAAAGGTATTACATGGTCTCGTATATAATATGAATAACATGAATCATTACTATTATATCTTACTATTTGTTAATATATAAATTGTAGGCCATCGGCTGCCCCCAGCTTAATATAATATTACGACAAGAGTGTCGTTAGCTGCCCCCTCCCTCTTAATAAACTCTTACTTATCCCCACCCCAGCGGAAAGTTCCCGAGGTAGCCGGATGAAATAA